TTAGGTGGAGCTCCCTGTAGGGTCACGCAACGCGTGAGGTGTGTGCCGAAACAGAGACATGCGGAGGGCAGAGGCAAGGAGGGGGAGGAGGGGGGAGGAGGAGGCGAGGAGGAACGCGGGGCACCCTCCCATCAAAACGAGGACCCAACACCAACGAGGAGGAGGAGAGGAGTGAGAGAGCACGCCCGTGGCGCCAGGCACCCTCGTCGTAGCTGCTGCCCACCCTTCGGGTGCCCTGGTTCCGAGGCAAGCTACCACGCTACCCCCCCCGCTTCGGGGAGCCCCCCCGACCTCCGAAGCACCCCCCGTCCTCTCCTCTCCCCCCCTTCATCCATGCAGGGGGCCGGGGACAACGGAGCTTGGAGGGAGGGTTTGTTGCAGCATCGCTGACGAGTCTTGGGTTTAGACTGGTCCTCCTGGTCCTTCTCCTGTTCCCCCGCACCCTCCTGTTCCCCTTCCTCCACCCTCCACCCCCTCCCCACCTTCCTCCCCTCCTCCTCATCCGCCTCTCCACTTCACCGCCCCCCCGTCGACCACACGACGACGACGACGACGACGACGACGACGACGACGACGACGACGATGATGATGATGATGACGATGACGATGCCGCCGATGATACCACCGACGACAACGCCGCCGCCGCCGAAGCCGCCGCCGCCGCCGACGACGACGACGCGGAGAGGCGGTGAGGGGGAACGTGAGAGGGTGACCACAGCTCAGGGGGGAACAAATATCGAGCTGAAATTAGCAATATATCGGCGATAGGCCCGCGATAGCAAATCCGCACGCGCCTGGGCGGGGCGGGCTATCGGGCCCCTATCGGAGATTAACGGGCGAATCGGGGTCGATGCATCCCCGTCCCGGTGAATTTCTGGCCCAAAACTCAAGCCTCCGGCGGCCGTTCGGGGCGACCCAGACACCCCCAGAACGCTCTCGGCGAGGGCCTCGAAAATCTCCAAAATGGTTCGAAGACGATTGAAAACGTCCCAGGACACTCCCCCGGAGCCCATCCCCCCCTCATGTTGCCCCCGCTGGCCATCGCTCGGACGTCCATTCCCTGTGCTTTTGTCCGGTCTCGTGCGTGGGTTTTGTCGCCAAATGATCTAGGATGCTCCTCGATGGCCCTCGCCGAAGGAAAATGCACACCTCCGAGCGATGCCAAGCCTGAGGAGAGGCGGCGGCTAGCGGCGGCCGGCCGGGCGCCATCACCCGGCGGACGCGGCCGCGGGTGGGCCGCCGGAGCTCCTGCGGGTGGGCCGCGCCACCCACAACGGCGGCCCTGCGCCATTCCGCCCCACGCCTCTCTCCATCCTCCATCCTCCATCCTCCTCGTCCCTCCTCCTCCTCCTCCTCCTCCTCCTCCTCCTCCTCCTCCTCCTCCTCCTCCCCCTCCTCCTCCTCCTCCTCCTCCGATCCCCCTGATCATCGTCGTCACCCGACTCATCCCCTTCTTTCATCCACCCAAATCAACACCGCCCTCCTCCTCCTCCTCCTCCTCCTGCTCCTCCTCCTCCTCCTCTGTTTGAAAGATCCCGGCATTCTCGCCTTGCCAGCTTCCCGACGCTCCAAGACAGGCCAAGAGGCCCCCAAAACTGCCCCAAGATGACCCAAAAGGGGCCCATGAGAACCTCAAAGGGACCCAAGAGGGCCCCAAGACCGTCCAAGAGGCCTCCAAGACAATCGAAGAGGCTCCCAAGATGGTTGTGAGAGGGAGCCCAGACGGGGGACCCGAACGGACATTTCGAGCCCTCGGCTTGAGAAGCTCTCAGACCCCCAGAGGCCCCTCAGAAACCCACCAAGAAGCCCCAAGAGGCCACCAAGAGACCCCCAGGAAGCCCCAAGAGGCCCCCACGAGGCTCCCAAGCGGCCCCCGAGAGCTTCCCGAGAGGCCCCCAAACTACCCCCAGGAGGTCCCCGAGAGCTTCGTCGTTGTGGTCGTGGTTGTCGCCGCCATGCAGGGTCGGCGGCACCAGCCGTAAGGCCTTCGCAAAAACTCCTTCCTGTCGCACCCCCAGACGTGTTGGTAGGACGGACGGGCCGGGCGTTTCGCCTGCGACTTCCCCACCCTTTATGTGGGAGGCCTGGAAATGGGCACCAACACCTAGACAGAGGGCTGCCTCCACAGGGGGGAAGTGATCCTAGATTTCGGTGTTGGTGGTAATATTTCGGCCACCTTGGAAGCCAGAATATTACCACCATCACCGAGATCGGGATCTTCCTCCCTCGGTGGAGGAACACCGCCGATCTTGGTGTTGGTGTCAACCTCTGGGCCTGCGATTATGATCCTGAAGCTTTGACTCTTCAACAGCTTCAGGATGGAGGGCGGCCCGTTTTCAAAGTGTGGCCCTCGCCTCAGCGCCCCGCACTGTGTTCTTTGCAGCAGATTCAAGGATGAAGGGTGGTTCCTTTCCAGAATGTGGCCCTCGCCTTAGCGCCGCGCACATTCGTCTCAAAAGCTTGCAGCAATTTCAAACATGTCTGTGGTCAGTTGCGTAGATCTGCCGCGTTGAAGTCTCAGGAATGGCATGTTGACATGGTTGAGGATTCCCAGACGGTTGTCTTCCAACGGGGCACTTCCCACAATGAAGTAAACAAGATTGGAGGGAAAATGCATTGCAACATCGCTGATGCGTCTTGGGCTTGCACTAGTCTTCCTCCGCCTCCGAAAGACAATACGCGAGAACATACGAGAGATCATACGGCAGACCGTACGGGAAACCACGCGGAAAACCACACAAGAGACCAGACAGGAGACCACCGCGGAGACCATACAGAAAGCCATGCGGGAGACCACCCGGGAAACCACACGGGAGACAGCACGGGAGACCACGCAAGATACCATGCGGGGGACCATACGGGAAACCGCATCGGACACCACACGGAAAACCATACGGGAGACCCTACGGGAGACCCTACGGGGGACAACACCGGCTACCATGCGGGAGAGCATGCGGAAAACCGCACGGGAGATCATACGGGGGACCATCCGGGACGCCATAGGTGACGAACGAGCAACACACACCCATACCCATAGGGGGGCCGTTGAGAGGAGGACTGGCTATGGGTATGGGTGCGGGTTGTCGGACCCTGGGGCACGCTCCCGTTCGAGCGGGGACCCCCATCCGACAACACGCACCCATAGCCCTCCCCCACCCCCCTATGGGTATGGGTGTGTGTGTGCGTGTGCTGTTGGTTCGTCAATAGGGGAGACGATGCAGGAGACCACACGGGTGACCAAGACCCCGGGCCGATTCCAGATCCAGCGAACCCCGTGCTCAACATGTGACCCTTGCAGACAAGCTGTTCAGGACTAGGGGAACCGAGGGCTTCGAAGCCAACGCGTACGCTGCTGACCAAGGAAAGGGACTCGGGTTAAGGCACGGGGTGTACACCTAGACACAAGTACCCATCGCTGCTGTAGTCCCCACCCCCGCGGGCTCCACAAGCGAAGGATAGGGAAAGGGGTGGAAGGAGGGGGTGAGAGACGGGGAAACGAAAAGGAAGTGGACAAGGGAGAAATGGAGGAGGAGGGACGAAGGGCGGGGGGGAGGAAGAAGAGGAGGAACGAGGGGTGAGCGGGAGAAGGATGAAGAAGAATGAGAAGGGAGAGCAAGGATGAGAACGATGAGGACGATGACGAGACTGACGGAAGAAGAAGGCGTAATGGGTGTGTGCAGGTGGGGTGGTATCATCCTCCTGATCCTCCTCTTCCTCCTCCTCCTCCTCCTCCTCCTCCTCCGTCTCGTCCTCCTCCTCATCCTCTTCCTCTTCCTCCTCCTCCTCCTCTTCCTCCTCCTCCTCCTCTTCATCCTCCTCCTGATCATCGTCATCAGCATCATCGCCATCACCTTGACCATCACATTCATCATACTCATAATTAAAATCGTCCTCGCCGTCGTCCCCTCATCACTGTCATCGCAATCATCAGACAAGTTCAAAATACCAGTCACCCAACCATCATCACAACCAATCACCAGCATCATCTCACTTCAATCGTCATCAATATCATCGTCGTCGTGTCGTCGTCATCATCATAATCAGCAGCATCATCATCAGCAGCATCATCAGCAGCACTATCAGCATCAGCATCAGCAGCAGCATCAGCTTCATCATCATCATCATCATCATCAGCAGCAGCAGCAACATCATTATATCAACATCAGCGTCAGCATCAGCATCATCGTCGTCGCCATCACCATCATCATCAGCAGCAGCATCAGCATCATCATCATCAGCATCATCATCAGCATCATCATCATCAGCAGCAGCAGCATCAGCATGAGCATCAGCATCAGCATGTGCATCAGCACCATCACCATCATCAACATCATCATCATCAGCATCAGCAGCATCCTCATCATCATGCTTTATTTCATCATCATCATCATCATCATCATCATCATCATCATCAGAACCATCAGCGTCAGCACCATCTCCATCACAATCATCATCGACATCATCGTCGCCACAATCATCATCAGCAGCAGTAGCAGCAGCATCACCATCACCATCATCATCATCAGCATCAGCATCAGCATCATCATCAACATGGCGTCATCTTCATAAGCATAATCAACATCACCACCATCGACATCGCCATACCATCACCTGCACGAGCACCAGTACCAGCACCAGCATCGTCACCATCACCACCGTCGTCATCAGAGTCACAGTCATGGTCGTCATCATGATCACCATTAGTATCAGAATCATCATCACCACCATCATCCTTATATTCATCACTGCATCACCACCATCACCACCACTAGCATCACCATCATCATCACAGCTTCCTTCCACTACAACCATCACCCACACACCCCTGCTTCCATCTCCCTCTTCTACCCATAATTCTCGGAGAAGTGACTCAAAGAACCCTCGCGCATCCGTGCTCACCATTTCTCCCTTCATGTTCTGCTGCTCTGCGCAAACAAAAAATATTGGTCCTGATGCGTTGGCAGCGCATTGAAGTGGCACAAAAACGATACCCCGAACAT